ATAAAAAGTTTATAAAAAATTAATAAAAATAAAATATTAAAAAGATTTAAAAAAATTAAAATAAAAAAACACTTTCGGTATCGGTTTCGGCCTGACAATTTTTTTTATTTCGGTTTCGTTTTTAAAATTTCCATTTCGGTGCACCTCTGGTATATACCACATGTTGTTGTTCTGCACACTGCCATGCATTTAAAAGCCAATGTAAAGGGCCCTTGAACCTATTAAAAAATAGCAAAGGTTTTGTAAGTATTAAACTCTCAAAAGAGAGGGGCAGCCGTCCATCTACTTGCTTAGAGAAGCGAAGACGGAGGAGCAGAAAGCAGAGGGGTCTCTTGCTTGCTGTGTCTGTGTCTCTTGCTTGCTTGCTGTGTCTGTGTGCTTGTGGACACACACAGCTTACTAGCACACAAAAGGGTGACTCCATAGGACCCTGCAAGGGAAAGGAACCACCCTAAAACAGGATATCAAGACCAGTGCTCAGGAGACCAGCTGATTCTGCAGGAAGTTAAAACGTTTAAACATCAAGGAGCAGCATCTATTGTAAGTGAGTTCATCAGCATTTGAAATAGCTTACACCTCGACTTTCGACTTAAATATCTCTTTAGGATGCATATTTTCTTTTTAATATAGATTAATTAGTATTCTTAAAGATACTCTGTGCTTTGCACCAGGTTTATTTGAACCCCCAGCAAATTGTTCCCTTTCCTAGCCTTTTGTTTTAATGCCAGGAGCCAAAGGATATACCCAGTACTTCCGGGTATGGAGGAGCATGTATCCATTTCCAAGTGACAATGCTGGGACAATCATTGCTGTCACACAGGGAGTCCATAGACTTGTGTAAGCTATGACTCCAGCGACTCATAGTTTACACAAGACCTTTCCGCACTACCAGACCCTGAAAATAGTAGCAGGGGAGAGAAAGATGGGTAAGTATATGTTGCTGGGGAGGGCTGGAACCTGTTGCTACTCCCTGTGTTGGCAAAGGACGGGTTCACTTCAAGCCTTTCCAAATAACCCTACTAGTTGCAGTAGGAAGGACAGGACAACGAGCCCAACCCACATTCCTTTAAAATATAGGTTTACCCTTTCACTTATCTGTACACCATATTGACACCACCAACACTAAAACATAGCATGCTGGGTGGGTTCTTAGTGGCACTGAAGTTAGAAGGAGGGGATCATTATCAGTGTTATCAGGAGTCAAAGCCTGTTCTGCTGTTACAGACTACCAGTTTGTAAGTATTTAAAGTATATTATATGTATA